TACGTAAAATATGCAAAATTTGCATATTTCTCTTTTGAAAAGCACTATGTAAAAACATTATAAGTACTGGAATGGGCATGAGACCCGGGTCGTGCACAGTTTCGGTGTGGTAATTTTCAATTTTTACGCAAAGTTTACGTGGGGGAGTGTATTCGGGCCAGGTGAGTTTGTGTTACATGAGTTTTTGGCTGAGCCCGGCTAATTTGGATTAAACCTGACATTTAGACTAGTGGATATAGATGCGAGGGCGCAAATGCTGCCCTGAATTTGTTATCCAGCTTGACAGTTTGGATATCTGGTTCTTGATCTAGCTAGTTTGGTATCCATTTTCCTGTCGGGATTTGAATGGTGAACAAAGGAGGATACAGAGCGGCCTCCCGGGGATGCGAGGAGCGGCGACAGGGGGTGAAAAAGCGAGTTTTCTTCAGCTTCAGCTTTAGAAGCACACTTTTGTAGCACTGGTGCCTGTGTCTCTGGCCGGACAATGGGTCGGCCTTTCGCCCGCCGGGATCCGCCTGTAATGATGAATTCCTAGGAATACGAGATCGGGGTTTGTAATTATTAGGGCCAAGCGATTTTGGTATTTAACTAGTTGGCCTAAGGCGAGGTGCCACTGTTTACTTTGGGAGCGTAAAAGCTTCACTTGAGCTCAAATTTTATTTTTTGTATTGCACTCAGAACAAAAGCAGCATTTGTGAAGTTAGTATCCGTTTTAATACTTTTAACAAATAATATTTCACCGCCGTGCCCACTTTCCTCAATGATTTGGCGAGTGGACGTTTCCAAACAGGGTTTTTTATTATCCGGTGTGACCTTGAACTTGCTACACCCACTCGTTCAACTGGACATTCTTGCTTGCCAAGTGGATATCAGTGGACACGTCGAGTTTTCTGAATTGTTACAGCATGAAGGAGCGAGCACGCCCGCTGGAGCAGCAGCAACAGCAACAGGGCACCGTTCGGAGCCTGCTTTATCCGGCGGTGATGCCGTTTGAGGATCACTGGGCTGCGAATGGTGGTTTTGCGGCAAGGCCAAATCCAAGACGCCCAAACGTGCAACAGCTAACATCTGCGCATGGGACATTTCAGCTACCGCAAGATGAGCACACCTGTAATTTCTATCATGCATCACAGGAAAGTGCTAAAGTAATTTTTTCTACAATCTACAAAATTGTCTAATTTTGTATACGATTATTGGCCAGTAATGGTGCGGTGGCAAGTATTTGTCCTTGTACAGAAGACTGATGGTTCGATTCCACCAATGCATGTCAGGAAGACAAGTCTGCCGTCATCCTACTTCCAAGAAATTTTTGAACGAGGAAGCCATCGGCAGCCTTGTCCTCGGATGGTTATTGAATTTGGTACTTTCTAACATTTGCGTACCTCCGCTTCTTACAAAGAAAAAATGCGGCGAGTGTTTTGGATTTTTTGATTTAGGATAATTTTTCTTTTTTGTTCTGAGGTAAAA